GGATTCAAACTGCCGACCTTTTGGTTAGCAGCCACGCTCTTAATCGCTGACCCACCAGGGCACATAGTAGATGTGCAATTGTTATAGACTGAATTGTATTCCCCAAAAAGATATGTTGAAGTCCTAGCCCCTGGTACCTGTGAACATGACTTTGTTTGGAAATAGGGTCTTTGAAGATGTTATCAGTTAACATGAGGTCCTAATACAATATGACCAGTGTCCTTATAAAAGAGGAAAGGAGACACAGAGACACATAGAGGGAAGATGGCCGTGTGACAACGAGGGCAGAGACTGGAGCTGCAAGGCAAGGAATGACAAGGACCACTGGCCATCCCCAGAATCTAGGTAGGCAGAGAGTAAGACTACAGGGTGTGTGATGGTTAATTTTATGCGTCAACATGGCTTGGCTATGGTGTCCAGTTGTTTAGCCAAACACTAGTCTGGTTGCTGTTATGGAGTAGTTACATGTGATTAAATCAGTTGGTCTTAAATAAAGCAGATTACCTTTCATAATGTGGGTGGGTCTCAGTCAATCAGTTGAAAACCTTAAGAACTAAAAGGGAGTTTCGCTAGGATGTATTCTGCCTCCAGACTATAAACAGATATTTTGGCAGAACTTATTGTTCACTCTTCCCTCACCTGACCTATGAATTTTGAACTTGCCAGCCCCCCTCACAATTGCATGAGCCAGTTCTTTAAAGTAAATCAATAACTCTCTAGATACAGATACACATACAGATATAGATATCTCACTGGCTCTGTTTCTCCAGAGAACGCTGAGTAACACAGGGTGGAACTATTCAAATTCCCTGTTATTTAATGTGCTTCCTGGGCAATCTGACCTCAGGAGGTTCTCTTGCCTTCTTCACTTAATAACAACAACAAAATAGAAAAGTGTACACATGCCTTTGTAGGTTGCTCTGGTTGGGATGCTACAGACGCAGGTCTGGTTTTTCTGACTTTTACTCTTGCACAGATCCTTCTTGGTGTCGGCATTATTCACCACACACACTGAATGTCTTGGAGAAAAGTTTCCAACCACAGTCACAACAGTCTGTACAGGGAAGAAGGAGATACAGAAAACAAACCACGGTTTTTTCATCATTTCCATTCACTGTAAGCCTTTGGTGAACTCACCCTTTGACCTGCCATCAGAAGGAAAATTTCTCAGAGAGCATATTGGCAATTTGGTTTGCTCTTCGATGAGTCACATATTCATATTCTTTGACCATTTTTCTGCTTTGTGTATTTTTCTTACCAATGTTTAAGAGCTCTCTGTATAGTGTAGCTATTAATCCTTATCTATCATGTGTGTGACACATATTTTCTCCTAATCTACTTCGAACTTTTGTTTGTGGTATCTTTTATCCTACAAAATGTGTTTTTAGGTAATCAGATACAGAGTTTCCTATCTTGGTTACAAAGTTTTCTCCAAACTCTAGATTATAGACAAATATAAAATTGTGCTGCCATCTTTACTGTTTTATTTTTTAAACATGTATCTTTCATCCATCTGGAATTTATTTTTATATACAGTTGGAGATATGGGTCCAATTTTATTTTTATACAGATGGTTAATCAGCTATGTTATAACCATTTACGTTAATAAAACAAAAAACAAAAAAACTCTCTCCCACTGAACTGCAATACCTCTTTTTCCATATATTAAATTACCACATAACTGGACTGTATTTCTAGACTCTGCTGTATTCTAATTATCTATAGATCTACTTCTATTCCAATGTCATCAGTTTTTACTATTGTGACTTTAAGTGTATTTAACATCTGAAAAGGCAAATTTCTGCTTATGTATTTTTATTTTCATAATTTTCTTAGCAGGCATTTAGTCTTCCATATAAAATTTAAGATAATTTTATCCAAAGGAGACTAGGAGTCTAATTGGAATTGCACCAAATGTATAATTTAGGAGAATGTATATATTTATAATATTAAGTCTTCCCATCCAAAGACACGATTTTGTAATTTTTTTCCTTTTTTTAAATTTTAGTAATATATTTTATTTAACCAAATATATCCAAAATATTATCATTTCAATATGTACTCAATATAAAAATTAAGATAGTTTAGATTCTTTTTTTGGGGGCGGGGAGAAGAGTACTATGTCTTCGAAATCTGGTGTGTATTTTACACTTACACTGTTATTGTTGTTGGCTGCCATCGAGTTGATTCCGACTGATAGTGACACCATGTGACAGAGGAGAAGCACCCCATAAGGTTTCCTAGGCTGTGATCTTTACAGGAGTAGATTGCCAAGCCTTTTCTCCCTTGGAGCGGCTAGGTGGGTTCAAACCACTGACCTTTTAGCTAGCAGCCAAGTGACTGCTTAACCACTGTGCCACCAGGGCATAAATTTTTTTCTTTGATCCAGAGTTTAGTTAAGAGGGTGTACCTTAATTTCCCAGTTGTTATGATACATTTGATTTGTCAACTCTTTCTTTTTTTATTTCTGTTATTAGATTACAGTCAAAGAAGATAGTCTGTGAAATTCTCTACTTTTAAATCTAGTTAAGGTTTTTTTTGGGGTCAACATATAACCAGGTTTTTTTTTTTTTAGGGGAGATGTTATGTGTATGTGTGTACACACACACACACACACACACACACACACACACACACACACACACACACTACTCAAAAGGACAAAAGAAGAAAATCTTGGCATATCCCCAAAGCAACCTTTTCCCAAATGAATTATCCTAAAGAACCAGGCAGTTAGGTCTCCTGAAGAAAAGGAAACTTAAAGGAATTAATATGTCAATGGTAGACCCTTTTTGCATCAGGTACATGAAGGGGATCTGGTGGGACGGTGGGCTACATATTAGGAAGTTGGGAGTGGAGCAAGAGGCAACCTTACCACCAGCTATGAAGAGCTATGGTCCCAGACATCCCGGGAGGTGTCTATCTTGTGTCATACTCTGGCCTCTGTCCAAACTTCCTACCCTGCCATCCAAGATTCTGCTTTCTCCCTGGTCCTCTAATAAGCCTGACGAGTCTATTCCAGTCCCTAGAGGTCACCCCCACCTTTCCACTTTGTCAATTCTTCTTCTGGGCTGCAGAATCATGTTAGAAGAAGCCAATTCTTTCAGCCCAACTTGAACTAGACTATAATCCAGCCATCCCTAGGGGATTTGAGCATGATAATGAACCCCAAACCATTCCCACTAACTCATCTTCAACATATGGCTAAACTCTCATCTATGCTGACTTCTTCTTCCCAGCATTTATATCTACACCACACATCTTAGCACATGATTACATCCCATATTATCATGTATACCTATATATCTTAAATTTAATCCATTGCTCAAACATTATAACAAAAAGTATCAGAAATATTTTTAAAAATTCTGTTTCCAGCATTTTAAATTTTCCAATTTCCTTCCAGTTATCACATATACTAAATATATATATATATAATTTTTAGATAGCTATAATTCTTACATTTATTTATTCCATTAATATTTATTGAGCTCCTAACATGTGCCAGGTGCCACACAAGGTGCTGAATACACAAATGAGCCAAACAGCTATAGTCCTTGAACCTCAAAGAGCTTATAGTCTAGTGGAAGTACGGAAAATTCCACTAGACCGAAACTGCAGGGTCACGCAGTAGTTCAGCAAGAGATGATGGAAGCCTAGGCTTAGATGGTACAATGGAAATGGGAAGAATTGGACAGATTTAAGGTATCCTGTAGAGGTAGCATGAGGGGTTTGGAAGTGGGGAATGTGGAGATGGAGGATTTTGGTGAGCAAATGCATATAGATGCAGGTACCATATACTGAGATGGGACACACTGAGGGAAGCGGCAGATTTTGGGTGGAAAATTCAAGATTTTCAGTTTTGAATGTGTTAATTCAAGATACCTGCATGATAATCTAGAGGATATGTCGAGTTGGATATGGGCCTGGAACTCCGAGGAGGAGTCTGGGCTGGAGATAAAGAAGACATGAATGTATAGATGAAATAGAAAGCCAAGAGAGTGGATAAAATTGTCCATGGACAAACTGCAGAGTGGGAAGAGAGAAAGAGCCCAAACTGGGCCTTGAATATTTAGATTCCAGGAAAGAAGGAGTCAGCAAGGGACAATGAGAAGTGCCCAGAGAGAAGGAGGAGAGCACGGAGAAGGTGTGTCATGGAAGGTAATCAAAGAGTGGGTTTCAAGAACGCTGCCAGTCAGCCAAGTAAGAAGAGGACTTTATAGTGTCTACTAGATTGGCTACATGAGTTCACTAGTGACCTTAGCAAGAACATCTCAGGGGAGTGGGGCAGAAGTCATGTTGGAGTTAATCTGAAAATAGGAAACAATAAGTTTTGTCAGGTGCAGTGGAAGGAGAGGGTAGCCAGGGAGATGAAGTTTGTAAGAGTCTTTTGGTGCCCAGGGAGTATGGTTACAAAGCTTCAGCTTCAGCTTTATAAACCCAACATGGGAATCCTTACCAGACTGACCGTTCTTTCTTGAACTAACCTGGATAAAGAGGGAGTGAAGACACAAGGGGTCAAATGGGATAAAGAGAAAGTTTGAGTGTCAATTAGCTGGCAATGTCTATGGGGCCAAAGAACTTGCTACAAAGCATTTTATCACTTTGATATAACTTATTTTACTTGACCATTCCCCTTATTGTCGAACACTTTGGTTATTTCCAGGTTTCTAATGGACTTAACCATACCAACAATCATGAAGATGATGCAGGACAAGGCAATGTTTTGTTTTGTTACATACAAGGTCACCGTGAGTCAGAGTCCACTTGATGGCAACTAACAACAACACAGTTCTATAAATGCTATTGCAAGAGCATCTTCATGCTTATGGTTTTTTTCTTTCGAGTTACTTCCTCAGAACACAATTTCAAGCCTGGAATTAGTGCTTTAAGCAAAATGAATATATTTATGACTTTTGAAACATATTGCCAAATTGCTTCCCAAAAAGGTTATGCTAATTGACATCACCAACACTGGGTGTTAGTTAGCATAGCTTACTATCGCTTTAATTTGTATTTATTTGATAACTAGTGAACTTGAACATATTTCCATATTTATGTCTACTCTCTAAACCTCCTCTTGTGAGAATACATGCTTTTGCCCACTTATTTTTTGGTGTCTTGGTGTTTTTCTTTTTAATTTCTCTGAGCTTTATTATCTTGCTTGTGATTAATATTTTGTCTGTTGAAAATATTTTCCTGAAGTGTATGCTTTAGTTATCTTTTCTCTGTTGTATGTATTTTTTAAAAAGTCAGTATATGAATATTTTTCTTTTATTACATATACTACTTGAGAGCTAAGAAAGTTATCATTCTTCCGAATTATCTGATGTTCAATTCTATTTTCTGTTAGTTTTTCTCTGAGTTAGATTTTTATATATAATTCTTTAATTAGCCTAAATTTTATTTTTACATTTAATGTAAAATGTGAATTTAATTATGTTTTCATATTGTAGGACAGCTACCACAACACTTCTTATGAAATAATTCTTTTGTTTCTTCTTATTTTATGATATCTCATCTTTAAAAATTTTACAGCTATCTCTGAGCTTTCTCTTCTATTCCACATGTATATATTCTTATCTTTAAACTAGAATCATGGATTGAATTATAGCCATTATATATATGTTTACAATCAGATGAGAGTGGTCTTGCTTAAATAAATTTCTTTTTTCAAATAATATTTTGGATATTCTTGACCAGTTCATATTATACCAGATGAATTTTACATTAATTTAAAGAAAAAGCCTTTTCAAATTTTCATTTGGGATTACATGAAATCAAGAAAATAGGTTGGGAAGAAAAAGTGACATTTTTATGATATCTTCCCACCAAGAAACGTAGTATGTGTCTGGATATACAAGGTGTTTTTCATGTCTTCCAAGAAAGTACCTTGTGTGTTTCTGTTTTTATTTTTATTTATGCTTATATTTTTAATTGATATGATTTCATTATTATGAATTATAAATGGCCGTAATAGATCATTGCCCTGCTATCTAACTACTGTTGGAAAGAATGGCTTAAGACAGCTGTTGCAAAGCCAAAATCGTTCCTTTAGATACAACCTGTATCTCTTAATAAAAATGCTTTTAAGATATAGGTTATATATCTCACTATTTAAGTGTATGCCTGAGTATTTTTCTTGTATTTATCAATTGGGATCTTTTATAACTGATGGTAACAGTTTGTTTTACCTGACATGTAAATATCATGTTATTGATATTCGAATACTTATTGAGTATTTAGCTCTTCATTTAACTTTTTATTAATTTGAAGAGTTTTTAAAGAGAATATCTTTATATTTTTCAGACGTACAACAAGTTAAGATTAGCAAATGATGGTTTTTTTGTCTATCCTACTCCAATAATTACTCCTATTGCTTATTTCTTGTGTTGGCTATACTGGACAGAACTTTAAAAACAATGTTGATATTATCAATGACGGTGGAATTCCTTATTGTAGTTCTGATTTGTAAAAGAATGCTTCTATTGTCTCTTCTTTAGGAACCATGTTGTCTGTAGGAAATACTTTTATTCCTATTCCTTTTCTGTTTTTATTAGTATAAGCCATTATTACTGAATATTAAAATCTCATTACACGCATACAAACATATATAATGTTACACAATGCAAAAACAGGATGTTCTACATCCTTTTGTTTGTTTGTTGGTCTGAGTAAGTAAGGCTTTTTTCTCTTACGTTTTTATTTGTCTCTTCACCACATCAGTCATTCACACCCACTTTTACCAGGGGAACCCATGTTTACAACCTAGTATGAATCCTCCTGTATTTTTATCCATGTTCAAATGATCATATAGAGACATAGATACATAAGCATACAAAGGGATTTTTTTTTAATCAATAGAAGATCTTCCCTCTAAGACAACTGGTATAGCTCTTATTATTTCTTTTTAACAGCTGCACAGAATTCCACAGTGAGGATGAGGATGTACTATTTTCTAATGGCTTTGTGTAAAGAGGAAAAGATGCTTGTGAACAGAGGCTCTGTATTATGCACTTATTTGTTGTTGTCATTTGTTTGGTTGGTTGGTGTTTTTTTTTTTTTTTTTTTATCTAGACAGTTACTGGACTCTCCCTGGTAGTGCAAATGGTTAACGCGCTTGGCTGTTAATTGAAAGATTGGAGGCTCGAGTCCACCCAGAGGTGCCTTGTAAGAAGGGCCTGGCAATCTACTTCTGAAAAATCAGCCACTGAGAACCCTCTAGAGCACAGTTCTACTCTGACTCACATGGGGCCGCCATGAATCAAAGTCAACTCGATGGCAACTAGTTAGAAAGTCACTAGAATGATACTAGGCATATGACGGACAGTTAATAAATTTTCTTTGAACCAAATTCATAGATGGAGTTGGGGAAAACTATAGACTGCCATCTCTGTAGGTCAAGGTCAGGTATTACTTACACGAAGACCGGAAACTTTCATGTAAATCAAAGATGGCCATAAGGGTAGAAATATTTTAAAATCATAAGATCAGTAGATGGAGTCAGATGTCTTAAAAATGAGTTTGAAGGTGGTTTCAAAGAACAGCTTTAAGCAAATTACTAACTTCGTATCTCCTTTACCTTGAGAATGATGGTGGGCTAAAGAGGGCAATGCAATGGGTTGTTTGGGAAAAACTCTAGGAGGTTAGGCTAAACAGTAGGGTACAGGGTGGTGAAGAAATCATTAGTGGTTTTTTAAGTGGTAAACATTTTTTGTAAGGTTCCAGAATAGATATAAATGATGATTAATTTATACTAGCAATCTCATGGGGGCAGTAGTGATTCAGGGGTAGAACTCTTGCCTTCCATGTGAGAGACCCAGGTTGAATTCCCAGCCAATGCACCTCACATGCGGCCACCATCCATCTGTCAGTGGAGGCTTGCATGCTGCTATGAGGCTGAACAGGTTTCAGAGGAACTTCCAGACTAAGACGGACGAGTAGTCCTGGCAGTCTACTTCCGATCATCAGCCAGTGAAAACCCTGCGGATTCCCATGGTCCAATCCCCAACCAAACATGGACTGGGCAGAGTTTTGTTCCATTGTGCATGAGGTCATCATTGAGTTGGGGGCCAACGTGATGGCAGCTAACAACAAGAGTGAACCCACAGATAGGTAAGCAAATTGTGTAAGTAGCACTTTCTATTTAATGAACAAGTTACCTTCCCCTGCTACGTTTAGCTGAAGAATTACTCTTAACATCTTAAAATGATAAAAGAAGGAAAAAACAAAACTTGCATATCTCAACCACTTAGCAGAGTCCTGGGTATATTCGAGGATCATGGAATTTTCAACCATTCTCTATTAGCACTAAAGTCAGCTATTTTTCAGACTGATAAGGGAAATAAAAACTTGGCCATACCTATGCTTAGATGCCTAAGTATCTTTTCTACAGAATCTATTCACTCTGATTCAGAGCTAGAGAAGGTTTTGGATGAGGGCTTCTCTCCCTCCCCCAACCCCGAGGAAGTCCACAGAAAGTGGCAACAGCCAAATAACTTTAAATAGGTGAATTCTGATCGGTTATGACTTGAGAGCTTGATTCTTTTATTATTTATCACTCATTAAAAGCTCTGGCTCCCCTTTATTAAATGTTAAACCATCCTAAGTGATATGGTTCTTGCTATTGGAATGGCAAAGTGTAAGGGAAAAGAGAAGGTGGCCCATCTCCTTGTTACTGTGGTATTCAAATAAAACAGAACCAGCTCAACAAGCAGGTCAGCTGGCCACTGATGGGGACTCTGTACCATTATTCAGAATACAAGGGCCATAATTAGGGAGAAAATATCTCCTTACAGTGCCACAGAGTTTGCTAAGCAGGAGTTCCATTTTCCTGTAGGCATGGTTGATGAGTGTATCAGAAAATGCTTGAATATGCTCATTGCTCCTTTGTATTATCCAGTGACAAGGCTGATGTGCTGCCAATGGTGATGCCAATGCAAGTACCCCACTGGCTTTCCAACGGACCCCAAGAACAATGTTCACTGCCCACTTTGGTTTTCTCTCCATTTCTACCAATAATACTTGAAGCCATGTTTATAGACTAGTTGTTAGAAAGAAGAAACTTAAACACATTAAAAAAAAAAAACGTTGCTGTTGAGTCAATTCTGACTCATAGGACCCTATAGGGCAGAGTAGATCTGCCCCTGTAGGGTTTCCGAGGAGCGGCTGGTAGATTCGAACTGCCGACCTTTTTGTTGGCAGCCATACTCTTAAGCACTACGACACATTAGGGGAAAAAAAAAAAAAAAAAAAAACCATTTACCATTGAGTCAGTTCTGACTCATGGTGACCCCATGTGTATCAGAGTAAAACTGTGCTCCATAGTGTTTTCAGTGGCTGATTTTCTGGAAGTAGATCACCAGGCCTTTCTTCTGATGCACCTCTGGGTAGACTTGAACCTCCAACCTTTCAGATAGCAGCCGAGGGCATTAACCACTTGTACTACTTATGGACTCCCACATTAGGAAAAGGAGTCATAAAACAAAACAAAATTATGCAGTTAAGCCAGATTTAAGGAATCTTGTTGACCAGGAGTCTGAATGTCTTTTTCTTTATATATTTGCTAATATATTTTTCTATTACATTAAAAGTCCATGTTTTCTTTAAATTCAAATATTGAGGGTCATCTTTAGCTCCATCAGACGACAAACTTCAGGAGGGCAGGCTCACGATGTGCCTTGTTCATTGCAACATCCCCAGCACCTTGCAGAGTGCATGGCACCTGGTCGGCATGAGATAGTCACTGACTAAATGAATGGACTCCTATAACAAAGTTTATTTGGTCGTTAATAGATATTTTACACCCACAAGGAAATTAGGATCAGTTGGTCAAAACGAGACAATACAATAGAGATAAACAAATTAAAATCACCCCCCTTACCTCAGCTTTACTCTTTTGAATCATCTGAATTTTAGGGCACTTTTCAGCTCCAGATGAAATATCCAGCCAGTCTCCTGAGTGCTCTGGAGGTGCACAATCTCCTTGAAAAGTACACCTAAAAAAAAAAAAAGAAAGAAAGAAAAAAATACAACAAAACAGCAACCCTGAACACGATTAGTTAAAACTTTCTCATACTTTGCCTCAGTACAAAATGCCAGGCTTTGTATAGTGGATTATTGATTTTGATCAAGAATAGGAACATGATGCTAAAATCATGAAAAGCAACCGGAAAACAACAGAGAATTTTTTCTAACATGTCTAGGAGCAGAGAACAAATGTAGACAACATGCTGAACTTAGACTCCTGAGCCATCCCTCCAGATGACACAGCCAAACACATCCAAATCACATCCTCTTACAGATTCTGAAATAAAGAGCTCCCTTCCAGAAAAACCTAGCAAAGAACTAGAGAAGGCTTACATATTGTATAAATTTTAGGTTTGCAATTCATTCCCAGAATATCAACCTATTGTGCGATATTTTTTTTTTTATAAAAAAAGCTACTGTTTTGTGCTTTCAGTATGATAATTAAATAAAAATATTTCAAGGGCAGAGTCAGCACAAGAATTTGATAAGACATTCTGTGACCATCTGCTACATAACATTTATTTAGACGGACACCAAACTATATCAACAGATACGGGTGAAACACTTTCAGGGCCACGTTCCCAAGTCACTGAGCTCAGAGGATGCCCCCAAATAAGTCTCAAACTGTGGCCAGGGCCAACTACTTTGATAGACAGATGATCAGAAGCAGAGCAGTGAGATCTCTTCACTGGTATGCTTGGTGTCTGGGTCACTCTAGGTCACATTAACTTGGGAACACTTGCCTCACCAGGTGGGTCATCCAACCCAACGGGAAGAATGAATGCTAAGTGCCACATTATTTTCAAATGGTGCTGGACTCTGTAGACATTCTGTTGAGTAGTATTTAAGAAAAGAATAAACCATCTCTGGTATCTATGCCTCCTCAAGCCTAAGTTTACAAAGAAGGGGTGGGGGAGACCCAGTGACAGATTTTTAAAGGAAACTGAAAATACATGAATCACGAGATTGAAAAACAACCAGATGATGACCACATTCAGATGTGGGGAGTCCCTGAGGAGACCTGAGTGGAATGGGCTGTGGGCCCAAACAACGTATTTGACTTCACAGGAGTTTTATTTCTTCTTCCTCTCCTCTCTCTCACTTTTTTTTCTAAGTCTTAAGAATTTAGGCCCCATTTGTCTTTGAGCTCTGCGCTAATTTAAATATGGCAAAAATAGAACAGGAAGCCAGAGAGTTTCATTAAACATCACCTCTTCCGAAATACTGCAGCATGTCATCATATTCTGACATTTTGGGGAACTCTGTTCACAGTGAGTGCAGATGTGTCCGAACTCTCCTACATCTGTGTCTGTTCCTTCTCCAACATCATAACCACGAGATTTTCATCAGCAATTCTCCACAGCCGTAAATTCATCTGACCCTTGATGGCTAGCTCGTCCGTCACGGACATTAAGTTCAAATTAAACCGCCTCTCAATGTCAGGGAGGGTTTGCAATGGAGGGACAAGGACTGCTGGATGGAAAAACAGAGTGATGAGGCTGGTTCCTTATTTTGTATCTGAAACAGATTATGACTCTGTCAAAATACTACCTGCCTCTCACAGGCACTGTGGTTTGGCATAGACACTTCCTCTGCCTATAAGGAAAAGAAGAAGCCAGTTCAAGAGAGACTGGAGTACAAACATTTTTGTAGGCTCTTAATACTGCCTGGGAGTCAAGGCCTAAGCCTGCCAAAAAAACAAGTGTAAAATATTTCATACAAATAGTGCTACAATTTGCCAATTTGCAGGCAGAAAACAGTAGTGCCACTGAGTTATCACTCCCTTTTCTGAACTCCTATAGCATTTCTTGTCGGAACCCCATATTTTGGTATTTAATCATATGCTGCCTTGAATTACAACTTAACTATTTCGTATGTCTGTGTCATTTCTCCCCAAGTAAGCTTTAAGCTCCTCAAAGGAAGGGAGAATGTCTTTCATATTTCTTCAGCAAATCCCTCAGTGTCTGGCAGCATGATATGCAAATACTAGGGTTTCAATAAACATTTCTGAATGAATGGATGAAATATGAAATCTCTATAGGTCCTTCTTATTTGGTGATTTTTCTTTCTAGAGTCTCCTTATGATCTATGCCTGATTGCACTTTATAGTATGGAGTCCCTGGGTAGTGCAAACGGTTAAGTGCTCAATTACTAGCCGAAAGGTTGGCTGTTCAATCCCACCCAGAGGCACCTCAAAAGACAAGCCTGGCAATCTGCTTCCGAAAGGTCATAGACTTGAAAACCCCATGGAGCAGTTCTACTCTGCACACGGGGTCACCGTGAGTTGGGACTGACTCAACAGCAACTAACAGCAACCACCTTATAGTAAAAAGACTATTTTTAACATAGTCTAGAAATTGGAATCTGAGGCCAGAGAAGGATCAAATTAGAAGTTAAGGTTTTCAGTTTATCTTTTGGGGAAAAAAAAGAGAAACAAAAAATACATAATGAATCTTTCATTTTCTATTTTGTACAAGGTTAAAATGAAATCTAATTACATTCAGGAACTAAATATGAATTCCTTGTTTTATAAATCACCTCTGATATTCTCAAGTCCTATTCCTTGTGTCTCCTTAGTTAAAACACACACACACGCACACACACACACACAAATCATGTCACCGAGTATGTATAACCAGATGGTCAACCAACAACAGTATCTTATTACTTCTCAAATATTGCAGATTATAAAATCTTCATGACAGCACACTACCCACACATTCTAATTTCTTAAGGACGAGTAGAATATTTTATAGCACCCATATTTTAGTAAACAAATTCAGCTAGTTTGAAATAATTCCTTTGAAAGCTATCACTCTTATCCTTATGGATCAAGAAAAGTAATAGTCAAATACACAAACACTGAAGCCACTGCCCAAAGAAAAGTAAGATTTCACTGATGGACGTGACTCTTGGTGACACTGAGTCCTTAGTGAGGAATTTTTAGGCTGATTTCTTAACTGGCTTTATTCCAATTTCTTAAGGCCATGGATACGAGGAAAATTGAATTTGGATTAGAATAAGGGCTTTCTGGAGAAAATGGCAGAGATACGTTGGCTTTCCTTACCTCATGCCATCTCTTTTGCCTCATCCTCTGTTGAGAGTCTATCCCAAAGTCCTAAGACTCCCATGCAGTATTTTATTTTTCTAGTTCTTATTTCCAGTTAGATTTCACGCCTACAAGATAAGGCCCATATGCAGACACCAGCCTATTTGTAAATTAGAAAATAGAACTTGCTCAAATGTAAAGAAAAGATTACCTGAAGAAAAAAATAGCAGCAAGAAAAAAAAAAAAAAATCAAAGCGTTAATTAAAAAAAGAAAAGCTTTCCTTAGGTGAAAAATACTGTATGTGGCAACAATTAGGTGAATGAAAAAATTTAAGAAGGTTTGCCCTGGTGGCACAGGGGTTAAGAGTTCAGCTGCTAACCAAAAGGTCGGCAGTTCAAATCCACCAGCCGCTCCTTGGAAACCCTATGGGGCAGCTATACTCTGTCCTATAAGGTCGCTATGCATCAGAATCGACTTGACAGCTGTAGGATTTGGTTTTTTGGTTTGTTCTTATTAGTTTGCTATAAAATTTCCTATAAAGCTAATTTATAAAAATAATAATAGAATCCAATGCTGCCATTCAACTACTTGAGTAGGTGGGCCACCCTCCTCTCTCCGCCTTCCACATACCCCACAATTTACACACACACAAAAAGATGTTCTGAAACTACCTAGGTCACAGCTCATGAACAGGGAAGTTCCAAACACCTGTTTCTAAGATGGCTATTTAAAATTCAGAAAGTATTTTCACCCAATAGGTTTGCTTTCTCAGCTAGTTCATAGAAACCTATGTAACCCATAACATCCCTGAATAACTAGTTTGCCACCCGCTGGCATGCATGGGGCCTTGGTTCAGTGCCAGGCACTGTCTGTGTCTTTACAGTTAGTTCGTGCCCATTAGTCCCCACAACAACCCGGGAAGGCAGGAACTACAATTATGCCCATTCTATAGAGGATGAAACTGAGGCAGAGAGAAGTGCAATAACACGTCAAGGTCATACAGTTGGTAAGTGGCAGAAGTCTGGCTTCAGAGCCATGTGCTTGGCCACTCAGCTGAACGGCTCCTTGTGAGCTCGAACCATCATTTAACAAGGTGTCCCAGGGCAAAGGCATTCAGAGTTCCTCCTGTCTTCCTGGGGCCTCAACAGAGAATGGAGGGTGGGGCTGGGCTAGGATGAGGGGGCAGGGATGGGAACCTCAGGAGCAAGGAGGAGAGAAGGTAAGACAGTCTATAGGATGAAGACGGTAGCAAGGATTTGGAAGGGAAACAGAGATGGGGATTCTGAGAGGTCTTCAATATTTACTTACCACTAGTCCTGAATACAAACCATCCATCTGGAGGTTAAGATTCCAGAAGCCCCCTCCCCAACCCCTGGCTTACAAATCTACTGTGTTCCGAAAATTTGCTTGCAGACCATCTGTTTGTAATATGGAAGGCATTTTTCCCCACAGAAATAATGTTGTAAAAGGTGATTACGTTTCCATGTTAGCCGACAAAATCTGTTTATCCATAATGTAACTTTGATACCATATATTTGCAATAAAAGGGTAGCAGAAACAATGAGAGCGCAGCCATTTGCCTTATAGCAGTTTTTCTTCTTATTTGTCGTTCTGCTAAGCCGGTAGTCTGGGAACAGTGCCCAGCGGGATCGACTTTTAAGTTTATTATTACAGTATTGTATTTATACATCCTTTTTTTTTAATGGGCGTGGTTTAAATTATTAATTGTTTTCATGCCAACATAAAGAAGAGGGGGACCAACCTCTGAAAAGAAGCTGAAGTTTTCAGGAGGTGAAATAAATGCCAATGGGCTGGGCTGGAGACCTTGAGAATCTGACACTATTAGACTAGAATCTCACAGTAAAAATTTACCACTTATTCATCCTTGAAATAGAAGATCTGAACTCAGAAACGTAGCG